CCCATTCACTAGTTGCATGTGGAGTAGGCACCACCCGTTGCTAGGAAGCAGGTAAGTGCGCAAGTGACCTAAATTTTTGATGCCAAGTGCGCAAGTGACCCAAAGTGCGCAAGTGACCGAAATTCCCAGTGCGCAAGTGACTGCCCGGCCTGGCCTCCAACCTTCCGGCAATGGCCTCCAACCTCCTAGCAATGGCCTCCAACCTACTAGCAATGCCCTCCAACCTACTAGCAATGGCCTCCAACCTACTAGCAATGGCCTCCAACCTCCTAGCAATGGCCTCCAACCTACTAGCAATGGCCTCCAACCTTCTAGCAATGGCCTCCAACTTTCTAGCAATGGCCTCCAACCTCCTGGCAATGGCCTACTAGCAATGGCCTCCAACTTTCTAGCAAAGGCCTCCAACCTTTAGCAATGGCCTCCAACCTTCTAGCAATGGCCTGACACGTGACATTGCTTGGACGAACCTTCAGGATCTTGATTTCGGAAAGCAGCACCTCCCAGTCAGCCCTCATGCTGGATTCCGCGACCACACCTTGCAGACAGAAGTGCCATTGCCTCATGTTGAAAATTATTTCCATAATTCTTTCCATTTTGTTCGCTGAGGAATGCATGCTATTTACTAACATTTATATACTCATGACTCATGCATAAGGCCCATAATTTCTTAAAATCTAAAGGGCGTTGCTGCTGGCGCAGTGCGATTACTGTATTTATTGTACCTGCCGTAAGCATTGCAGAAGCGCAATGAGTGGTCCAGGTGGCACAGCTGATCCTGTGTTCAGACAATCTGATCATGGCCCGCCGTGACAGGCATGGGCCATGGGGGTGTTGAGATTGATTGCTAATTAGTTGAATTTTTAACTATTGTTACTAATAGCTTTTTGTTCCTAGTAGTACGGCCAGGAGCCCTTAGTAGCGTTCTTGCTCCTAGTAGCAATGCCAGGAGCCCCTAGTAGCTTGCCTATATTGTTCTGATTTGTCCAGGCTTCGTCACATCGCAGCTGCTACTGCCTTGGTTTGGCCTCCAGTGGAGCCCATTTGGGCCTATGTGGTCAATGGCTGGCGAAGGCTTTTCACTCAGCGTGCGGGCGCGGGAGGTGGCTTTGAGCTCCGCACAGCACCTTGTCATAGAAACGAACTGACAAAGACTTTCAATAGCAGATTGCTTTGTGGTGATAGATTGCTGGATCCTGTAAGCATCAGCAGGAAGTGAACTACATTTGCTCATAACACTATGCCACTGAAGGAGGCTCAGCACAAGATGTACAAGGAACGGCGTTTCTTTGACATTGCCACTGAAGGTGGGGAAATGAATGGGAAGGAAATTGTCAGACGGTGTGGGAAGGACCCTAAGAATCTAAAAAACCCGGTCCGTCATTTCATTTCTTTAGTAAACCCGGGCCTGTCAACAGCGCAATAGAAAGCATGGGGCTGGTCACCTCCAATACGTGAAGTGTTAGACGGAATGAAAGAAAAGGACCCACAGCACGGGGCATGTAAGGCCCATAGACATCACCTGCACACGCCCAAAACAAGGAGTAAGAAGATAGTGAGAAGATGAAAGTGCGAGCCTTGAAAAAGCATGAGCTATCCTGCGTCCATATGTAGTAGCTTACTTGTAGGTACTAGCTTATACCAGCTACCTAGCTTCTAGTAGCTACCTAGTTACTACCTCTTAGCAGCTTACCCTCCCCTATTTGATTCTTGGTTTGTTCCACCGATGCCAGACAAGAGGCGAAGTCAAGCGAAAGCGAGAAGGAGACAGGAAAGTTGTGCTTGTGCAGCCAGGCTTGACGTGGAGCTGGACTGTGCTGCGCGCTGCATTCCTGTTTGATTTGGCACAGCCTTCACCTACAGTTCTGGCCACAATGCCACCGGAAGGAGCCTCGTGCAGGTCGAACGGTTATATATACTGTAAGTGTCCTTTTCAGAACAGCACTAAGAACAGTCTAGAAATGAAATCAATGTCAGGCAGACAGAGGAGTTTCGTTGAAGATGCCTTAGCCTTTTTTGCGTTCCAGCATCCAGTAGGAGCTTGAAGCTACCAGACTAGATAGTAGCTCAATGTAGCTCACCTTCTTCTCCGTTACTTCCCCTTCCTTACCTTGCTTCCCGTACCCCAACCTCTGGTCTTCAGCGCCTACCCCCCCTCAAACAGGAACAAATAACAAGGCAAAAAAGAAGAAGCACACACACATGCAATTAGTAGCTTCTTGTTACTAGTAGCGATGCCCTTTGTTCCTAGTAGCGATGACCTTGTTATTAGTAGTAAGGCCTTGCCAGGACCGCCTCAACAACTTCCACCTTTGGCTTTGCGAATTCTTTGGGCTCCAATGAAGGATCTTTTGTGGTGTCCATCAGCTTGGTTTCGAGATTTGTCACTCGACGCAGTACTTTTTTGGGCTCTTTGCGCAGTTGCCATGTGCCTTTGACTCTTTGATTGTGCATTGCAAGGATGTGCGCCTCACCCGGATCACACATCACTTTCCACGGCCGGACGATGTCTGATTCTGTGCCTTCTTGGCGCGCAACAGAATTAAGGTGGGACCTGTCAGACATGTACAGACTTGTTGTCCCAAGTTTAAGGAGGCTATGACTTTAGTAGTGGGGAAACAGCGGATGCGCAAGCAACTCTGCATGCCAACGAGAGGCAACAGCTACCGCAGTGTGGGTTCTTCGACATTTCGGTCGAACTGGAGCCAAATGGAAGCGCAGGACTCGCATACTTGGAACTCCTTCGAGCCTTCAAAAACTTCTACATTGACTATGCTTGATCTAGACACGACCGCATGCCTGTCCATGCCAATGTCCATGCCTGCTATGTGGTTTCCATGTTTGCCTAGGAGGTGGGGCTCCTTTGGTCTTGGTAGCGGGTTTGGATGCCCACGATGCCCAGCTGACGCAACTCTTGTCGTTGCTGGAGCTGGAGCTTGCGCAGCAACATCCAGTGCTGGTGACGGCGAAGCAACTTCAGCCGTTGCTGCGTCTTTGGACCATGCTCCTTGGAAACATTGATGCGCCTACTTGAGATTGAATTGTTTGGTACATAGGCTACATATGCGATGTTGCAGTCTTCCAAGCAGACGAACCATAAGGCTGAAAGATGCATGGCCAGGCCGACTCCAATGGGTTTGGGAAGCTCACCATGATGCCATAAGGTTTCATAAGCAGAACATGGCACAGTGTCAGCCAAGAACCTGGCTTCGCAGTGAAAGTCATGTCACCATCCTGGAGTAGTGTTTTTTTGTTGCAAACGGAGGCTTGTACAAGAACGCTCTTAATAGGCATGAGTCATGAGGTATTGGACTTCACTGGCAATTATCAGAACGGTTTGACTCAAATGTGTTTTGCGCCAGGCACCTTGTGCCTGAACTTTTTGGGGCGCAACCCATTTTCTTCTACACTCAGCCACCAGAGTGCTGCTGTTGTTGGCGGCGGCGAGCCAAATCCAGGGCAGTGGGCACGCTTGCAGGGGTCACTGGGCAAGAGAAGGCCAAGAAGGTACAGAACAGACATGATGTTTTTCGCCTTGGTAAGTTTATACCGAAGCGATTGAACTTGTTAGTTACGTAGAGTTGCCTTTGGTTTCTCGAAGGCTAGTATCGAAGCCTGAGATGAATGGGGAAGAGGCTGGATTGTTAGTGAAGCTTTCAGTTTGACTTCCGTGTGTGATTTGTCCAGGTTCTGATCATAGAAGACAATTCTGAGAAGGGCCGGTGGCTGGTCCGACGGGCTTGTGGCAAGGAACTGCTTGTGCGCCGGGAATCTCTCGATCCTTTGGTAGAATTCAGCAGCGGCGCCTGGAGTCCGTATGCATTTGTGCAACGACATTGCTCCTAGTAGTAATGCCAGGAGCTACTAGTAGCATCCTTGCTTCTAGTAGCGATGCCCTTTGTTACTAGTGGCTTCTTGCTCCTAGTAGTAAGGCCAGGAGCTACTAGCCTTCGCGCCGTTTGAGCCAAGGATGTTTTCTTGGACGCTCCTTGGCCACCAGCACCACAACCAGGCCTCAGATTTGTTTGCCCAGTCAAAAAATCTGAAAAGCCAAGCGTCGGCTGCAGAGACTTGCAAGGCATGACCCTGGAAACAGCGAAGGCACTGTGTGCAAAGTCACCTGATGCCATAGAGGAGGGAACCAATGCGCCACTTGCTTGAATTCAGCCAGCAAAGATCCAGATCAAGTTGGCGTGTTGCTGCAGAAGCCTGTTAGGCTACCTGTTAGGACATACCGTACCGTGACTTGCCTTTACACTGAGGTTTTGGTTGGGCCTCCGGGCAGAGGAAAAAAAATTGCTTCTGCCAGTGCCGACCCTTCCACTTTGCAAGCCAGAAGCCATATCCAACTTGTCCTTTCAGATGCTACATTCCCATGCCATCAGCAACCACACTTTCCATCAGCAACACCTCACTCGGTTGAGTTATTACTGCAAGCTCTTCTTGCAGGCCGCCCTGGGTAGGACTTTGCTGGAGGAATTTCACGACGGGAGTCCTTCCAAGTGGCTCAGCGGCACTTGCTCCCCTTCTGGCCGAAGAAACCTGATTTCCAACGGCACTTGCCAAAGGAACGGAGTCTCCTTCTCGTCAGCCAGTATCAATTACAAGGACGACCGGCAGCTTTGCAGGGTGAGCAGAAAATGTTCCAACTGTTCAGTGTCGCCAAGTTCGCAACTTCATAAAATGTTCCCTGATCTTCAGGAGGGCAGCGAGCAGGCGCGCACATACATTGAATTTTCAGATGCTTTCGCTACAAAGCTGCTGAGTGATGCTAAGTGTTGATCCATGAAGTTGCAGATGATATGTTCACGACACAGGCAGCCAATTCATCGGGCTTTCTGACAGCCAGATCACTAGCAACGACCACTGCTGGGTGTGGCTCTTGGCAACTTTGCGTTTGGAGACGCTGTGCTGCCGCAGCATCATGCAGGGCATCATGCATTTCAATCGGTTTCAATTGTGCAAGTGCACCTTTCAGGACAAACCCAGAGTTCACAGTGCAGTTTGAGAGGGTGGAGACCTCAGCTTCTCATGATTCCACCCCTCTCAGTCGGAGCTTGAGAAGTTCACCTTGCTCCTGCCATAGGCTCCTGGCTCCTCGCTGGGCTTGAACTTGGATGCGTTAGACGGGCAGTCGTTGATCATCAGCGCAGTTAAGGCCCACAAGCAATTGTTCCCTTGATCAACAAACATCGCTTCAAAATGCATTCTTGGAAAAATAGAAAGATTGCCCGCCTTCTTCCATCATTTTGGTGATGATCGGGAATAGTAAAGTTCAAGATGTGACGCATCGTGACGCAAACCATTCCAAAGGGTTTTTGCTCACAAAAGTGTTGTTTCTAGCACCTGGTAGTTCGGAGGATGCATGGGCATGGGGTAGTACACTCCTTGAAATAATCATGGAAGGAAAGCCATGTTTTGTGGAGAAAATTGTCATTCAAGGGACCATGTTCCACTTCCATTATTATGTACAGGGAGTGTAAGTTTTTTGTATGCCAAGCTCATTGCCTTTGTTTGCCCAGAATGGACCTGTGCGTGCGGGAGCTCGGGACACCGGACAGACCGAACAGACCGAGATATTTAAAATCGCTCCAACCCGAAGAGCGATGGCCTCCAACCTAGAAGCTGATTGTTACTAGTAGTAAGAATGCTACTAGCTACTAGTTACTAGTAGTAGCCATGCCCTTGCTCCTAGTAGCTTCTTGTTACTAGTACTAATGCCAAGAGCTACCAGTAGAGTCCTTGCTACTAGTAGCGATGCCACTTGTTACTAATAGCGTTGGCCTCCACCCAAATAATTCGGTTCTCCAAGGTCAACACAATGAGAAGCAAGAAGACGATGATATGATGCTTCAGCTCTCGTCTTAGGGTCACAAGGGACCTTAGGCAGTTTCTCTTGCAGTAAGCTGCTGCATGTTTGCTTTTTGCAGCCAATTCGCTCGAGTAAGACAGCTAAAGCAAGTACCACCTGATGGCGGCTTCCGTGGTGCCTCCCACTGTGGCCGTAATTATTCCCGCGATGAATGAGGTGCCACATGCCTAGTTGAGCGACATGTGCACAGCACAAACCAACAAACTACCGCGCCCCTGCTAGCAAGGTCACCTTAGAACATACATATCCTTTATACTTCTATGCCAGGGCGCTTTCAGAAACACGGACTTCTTTTGTTTGGTACCCGTCATTATGAGCTCACATGCAACTTCTGTGATCAATGAGTGTTCCTGCCCAGGAGAAGAGCTTGCCCACAACCTTGCAGAGCGTGTTGGCCCAGAAACCCTCCCCGCAAGAGATTGTGGTTGTGGACCCTGGTTCGACAGACGCTTGGATTCAGCAAGGGAGCAGGCACAGAAATTGGGAGATGGATCAGAAAGATAGAACAGCCTGGAATAGGGGTTGGAGGCCATTGCTATTAGGTGTTGCGCTTTTTTGACGGGTTAGGATCGAACCTCCGAAGTGGCTTCTGAGTGTGGCGCTCAAGTCTTGACATCGCCCCGTGGACGCGCTGTGCAGATGAATGCAGGTGCACGGAACACAAAGGCACTGAGAATGGGGAAAGTGCCACCGAAGGGAACCACTTTCCATTGGCCAATTAAATGCCAGCAAAATACAATCTAAGAATTTACGCAAGGACGCTACTAGGGGCTCCTGGCCTTACTACTGTGCACTCGGAAGGCTGACGTGCTGCTCTTCCTGCACGCTGACACCGGCCTGCCCGAGGGAGCTGTAGCAGCCATACAAGTGGCACTTTGCAATCCAAGGGTCTTGGGGGGATGCTTCGAGCTGCGCTTCCATGAAGAAGAGGAGAGTTGGACCCTTCAGCTTTGGAGCTGCTGTTCTGGCACGGTATGTTGTTGCTGTATATATTTCTCTAATCTATCCGCAAGGTGCTTCTGGAAAACAAATAGGTGTTCTTTGTGTTTTTGTCGCTTTTGTCCTTTTGAGCTTGCATTGTTTTCCGCCTGGCAGGGCCACCCCGGCATTCTCGCCGCCCTTCTCTGAACTTGATAGGATGCAATGCTTGCGCTTCCGAACCAAAGAGAAAAACCAAAGGTAAGGTATGGCGAACAAGGGTGGCTTACGTTTTGATTGGTTTGTATCGGGGATGTTGGTGTGTGCCAACACATTCACACCTATATGTGGACCAAATTCCTTTTGCAAGAACAGATTTGTTTTTTGTTGCAATGCTTCTTCTCCTGGCTCTTTTACTTTCGATTTTTTTATGGCTACCAGCTATTGTCCATGTCCTCAACTACTCTTTGTGCTTCCCTGCCTTTTTGAACTGTGCTATGTATACTGTATACTTTGCGCCAATTCTATTACAGTAATTATTAATTACCTGACCTGTAGCTGACAGTAAACAATTATCACTCGTTTTGAACAAGACCTTCACTAACCATCATCATCAACTGTTACAGGTAATGGGATAGACTCATAGACCCAATGTATACGTTTGATTCTATTCCGGTGCGTGTTTGATTGTTATTCTTCTCCTTTGACCTGTCATGTGCGTCCTTTTGCAGCAACTTCTGGCACAGGTTGATGTACCTTGAGCGTGTTTTGCTCTTCCTCCCGGGTTGTTTATCCTCCCTTTGTTCTTGGTGCTGCGCAAAGAAGACCAGGAACAAAAACCAAAAGGGTCAGTCATGCACCATTGGCCTTTGTGATGTACAGCCAAGGCTGGTGCACACGAGTGCAATGTTGCAGGACAAAGCGCCTGGTTTTTGGTGATCGAGGGATTTTCGTTCGGCGCAGTAGCTTCGAAGAATTGGGTGGCTACAGGAGAGGAACGTGTCCATCAAACAGCTTGTATTTCTCAAGATTATCAACCGTGTGTTTTCTCCACCCCTTTTTTGCACACTGACCCGTGGTGATATAGAACAAGAACGCTAGTAGAAACAAGTGCCTTGCTAATAAAAAAATAAACACAAAAATACAATATTAGTGACTATATAGCGGCACATAGTGGCACTGAAGCGACCAACCCTGCCAGTGAATGGCCTATTCTGGAGGATGTAGATTTCGTCCTCGTCTGAGTTGTTCTGTCAAACTCAGTTGATTTGAATGTTCCGAGCATTCTGGAAGCACTTCTGTGGTTTCTTCTTGTTTTTTTGAGACCTTCATCGAGGTCATGCGACTTGCACGACTCGGATCCCAATCATTTGAGTTTTTGCCTTTGGCGGTGACGACCTCTGCACGACGGATGTTGGAAAAGGGGCCTTTGAGGCAACAACTCTTGAGACTTGGTCAAGCTATGAGGATCAGTGCATGTTTGTACTGTTTGCACCTGGTCCGGACTATTGAGGTGGTGTGTTTATCCCGCAAATTGGAGGAAATTCAGCATGCTGCATGCTTGTAAACAAGAATCCGCTCTTTGATAAGCCACCCTTGGGCAACATGCCGGTGATGATACATAAAACAATGGGGCTGCTGCTTCCCGGCTAGTCTAGTCACGAGCTCTCGAGTTTTCTCAGGAACAGCTGCATCATCATCGCATGGTACTTGGGGGCCAGCCCCGAACAGCTTCGCGATTGGTACCGATATCAGATAGCACCCTAATGAGATGACTCCAAGGATGCAGAAAAGTCGGATGAACCAAAAGCAAAAAGAGAATCCGGTTCAGTTCGTGAACTCTGCTGCTCGATGTGGTCGTGTTACACCTACGGCCTGGAGGCCTCCAAGAGTGTGAGGACAGCAGATTCGACGACGAAGAAGACCGCTTGTCTCACAGAGCGTTGCAAGCCTTGCAAGAAAAGTGCGACCCGTGACCTTGGCTGCTTTGAATCATTGGAATCACTGGTGCACTTCGGAGCCAAACCCAGTGCATCCTGAGGAATGGGGATAGCATCGTGGAAGTCAATGGTGCCAGGGGAAGCTCACAGGCTCAGTTAAGCAAGTTTGTCGACGGTTGTAGCGCTTAAGTGGCAGTTGTGAAATGTTTTGAATAGCTTCAAGTGGAAAAAGGGTATGAAGAAATAGTCGCGTCCTTGCTCCTAGTAGTAAGGCCAGGGGCCCTTAGTAGCGTCCTTTGCTCCTGAGCACTGTGTCAGGCTTTGTTAGAGCACCTCAAGGTCGACACCGAGACTTGGCGAAATCTGAGTTTCTGGGAAGAACAGACAGATACTAACTGTGCCTTCATGGCTGAGGAACTGACTGTTACACTCAAGCGGCCTATTGCGATCACCTTAGTGAAGCCTATGAATTGAGCATGGTCATTGAAACTCAAAGAGTTGTGTCTACTAATCAAAGAGCCAAATCCTTTGTAGAACGTGTGTTTGCAAGACCTACTAGTAATAGGGGCACCGCTACTAGTAACAAGGGCATTACAAGGGCATCGCTGCTAGATCCAGTCTTTGAACCCGGGCCAGTTCCTGAACGTTAAATTGCTGGTATGGTCAGTGGCCGGACTCTGAGACCTTCAGCATCAGCATTGCCAGAGCTTACGCTCCGTCACCTGCCTCAGAGGGGGATGGTGAGTCTGTTTCACTCTAGGACATTGAACAGTATTGAACACTCCAATGCTGTAATTAAGTCAATTGCGCGTATCAAAGCCTGAGGCTGGGTTTGCAAGTTGAGCATGCTCCAAACGGCCTAGTTCTCAGAGGCTCAGGTGGAATGCAAAGCCTGATAGCAAGCCCGCGTCAATGAGTTGCACGTGTTGAAACATGGACAGTAGTTGACTGTGCTTGTATCATTTTTAGGTTGGAGGCCATTGCTAGTAGGTTGGTTCTCGGTGCCAAGCCTTTGGTTGCTTTCAATTCCGCCACTTCAAGCCACCCAGCTAAGGAACAAGCCTTCTGGTGAAGACAGCCTGATGCTTGTTGCACTTCTGAGACCAGCTTTTTGCATTTTATCACGCGTGACATTTACCGTGCCATGTCCTGCATCAAGGTCAATCCTGGTCTCATCAAGGACTGGAACTTGTCCCATCGAGGCAAGGCCCTCAGGAACAAGATGAGCTACATAGCATTACATTGCATTACATGGCTATAAACAGTCCAATTATACCTTTGTGCTTTGTGTCAGGTATGGGAATCAAGCGGCGAGACAGGGTCATTACAGTGAATGGCTGTCAAGGCAGCCGCATGCTTAACCGATGTGCATTGCCATGCGCAGAGACCGAGAAATCTCAAAGAGAAAAAGGACAATGTTTAAGCCCCTTTAATCAGGCTTAAGCATATGTGTTGATGTTTTTTTCTCGGACCGAAGATCTTGTCTTGTCTTCACCCCATCCTTGGTCTAAGATCCAGCTGAGCTGATGGCCAAGATGAAGATGGCTGCCGTCACACGCTTAGGACAAGTTCATCAGCTTAGGGCAAGAACTCATACATGCCCATTGCAAGCTCATCATGACGTTCCACTCGGTGTTTCACCTCTTGCATTGATTTTTGTTGATTGAACATCTATAGTAAATGGTCCTGAGGCCAACTTGATTCATGTCCTTTGTCCACGTTCAATTGATGCTTCGACGGGCCTGAGGTTCAGGGAGAAAAGCTGGACATCGAGGTATGCAGGTACTGATCCTCCAAGAGGTGCGACATCCACCGTTGGTTTCTCAATATCCTAGAGTAGTAGGAGCCCCTATTAGCGTCCTTGCTCCTAGTAGTGGACGTCACTGACATCGGCCTGATGTAAACGCCATCCCAGAGTAGTGCGTCTTTTCTTTTCGCTGACAGGATGTGTGCCCTACCTTGGATGGTCGCAGTGACACCAAGGGAGAGGGCGCTTGGGCGCTCCGCGGAGCCCTGGGGGTTATCCACGATGTAGCCAGCGTTTGGCCTTCGGCAATCCTTCTGCATTTTCCACAGTCAATGCACTGAAATAGGAAATAGGATGGAAATAGCTTTCTCAATGGTGCCCGGTGCAAGAGAAAGCTTGCACAAAGCTTGCACAGCCAGTCCCCTTCGCTCAGGCGAAGCCTGCTTCCAAGTGTTGACCACTAGACAACCAGCAGCATGATTTCGAAAATAGCACAATATGCATGTTGTTGTTCTACTTTTGTTGGTGCTTATTGGTTTCGTTTTGGAAGTAGAGAGGCAGGTCTCATCCAGATTTGTCAGTCCACAAGCGACCAGTCTCCAATCATTACCGGCCAGTTCCCAAGGTTCTTTTGGCCATGGCAGCCATAGTTGGCACCTGGTTTGCTTTTCTTGAGCGATGTAAAGATTGTGCAAACCATTGTAAGGCCCCCGTTGAGGCACCATCTAGATGTGTTTGATCCAGTCACCGAATCTGTTTGATTCTGACTCGGTGGCATCACGTCACATCTTTTCACGAAGGCGAGCTAGGAATACCACGCGACCAAGTCGTGCGAAAGAATGCCCTTCGAACCGGGGCAGCTGTTTCGAAGCGGCAAGACCATTGATGCCATGTTTCACTCTCTCCATTTGGAAGGTGCAGTGCAGGGCTCCAACAATGTGTTCAGCTTGTTGCTTTTCCCAGGACATTTTCATTTTGTTCATGTTCTCAGTTCTCAGCACTGTGCCCAAAGTGGCGTTGCATTAGTGGCCAGTTAGCAGCGGCAGTCGCTGACTCTCTGGCTTTTCAGCTGCGATGCGCCAAGCTTTTCAGCTTGCAAGACTCCTAGACATTGCAACGTTTGAACCTTGAACCTCCAGCTGTTATCACAATGTGTTCACTGTCTTCGTGCTGGAGACTCAATTAGTGCCACGAGCGACCTTCCAATCTATTTTGGAAATGCGATGCGGTTATGCATGTGAACTGACGGTCGCAAGGCTGCAAGGTGGCATCGCGCGTCAAGGTGGCACGATTGAAGGTGTTAGATTTGCTGCAGCTCCTTCGAGCCGCCTTGGCTCAAGGATGCTCAATGCGTATGAGGTTTGTAATGTTTAAACGTGTCCAGTTTATGTAGAGTTGGGATGTTCGACTTAGACAAAGCATACCCCACACCCCAAAGCATACCCTCTGAAAAGTCTACTACTTTAATCTTCGCACTGCGCGAAGCATACCCCGAAGCATAGCCCATAGTCAAACAGCCGGCCTTGGAATGTTAATAAAATACGTCATTATAGCACCCAACAGTACACGGTGGATTAAGAAAATGCATGATAATGCATGCACGAAAATGAAACATTCCACGACACGGCTCCCTGGGTATGTAGCCAAAATGGCCTCAGCACTGGCAGTCACTAGAGCGGACATGCCGTGTTTGGGAACCGAGACCGAGCGGAAACCTGAGAAGCAAGTCTCACCCCCTTCGATCAAAACAGACAAAACAGACAAACTACAATGTGTTTTTTATTCTGCCTAAGTTTGGCTTCCTAGTAGCTTCTTGTTACTGTAGCGATGCACTTGTTCCTAGTAAGAAGATTCTTTTGTTTGGTGCTTTGGCAAGTAGGGAAGTTTGGTCCCTTTGGTGCTGTGTTCATGGCCCCGCGCTGACAAGATGAACTTTGACTCAGCTTCTGCAAATGCTTTGGAGAATGCTCTCAGCTGGCACGGTGTTTGTAGCGTCGGGTCATGAGGAGGCACGGCTTCTTGAAGCCTTGGGCCCTGACAGCCGAAGCTTTGCTTAGGAACAAGGGCGCTACTAGGGGCTCCTGGCCTAGGAACAAGGACGCTACTAGGGGCTCCTGGCCTTACTACTCGGAACAAGGACGCGATTAGGGGCTTTTGGCCTTGCTACTAGGACCTACTAGGAGCAAGGACGCTACCAGGGGCTCCTGGCATCGCTACTAGGAGCATTCCTACTACTAGTAACAAGAAGTCGTGCAAAGGGATTTCCCTTCTTTAATCCGACAGTGGCTTTGTATGCCTCCCTTAAGCTCCAAGCTTTACTCGTTCCGGATGGGAGGGACAAGTTCTTGGGACCAAGAGCCTTCCCATTGCAGTGCATCGCCTGAACCAAACAATTCAGACTGTATCATAGCAAAGCTGCGAGCGAATTGAAAAGTACATCACACGCGAGGATTCGAAATGACACCGACTACAAATATCAGACGCCCAAATCTTGAGAGAACATTCGGGGTAGTAACAAGTGCATCGCTTGTAGTAACAAGTGCCTCACTAGTAGTAACAAGAAGCTAATTCGGGGTCTTGAGACATCGGTGTCCGGGAGCGGTTTCTCTTCTGAAATCTTATGTCCGTCGGACGGCGGGTATCATGTGGGGAACCTAACAGGGCTCATTCATCGTGCCATAAACGCAAATTGATTCGCTTTGGGACCAGCCCGTGTGAAAACTTGCCCCACGGTGCCATTTTGCAAAGCACGAGTGCATAGGTGTGCAAAGCCCAAGACACGCTGTCCTTCCTGGAGAACCTGCAAGACATGGGACAGGTGCAGAGTAACCGTGGAGGGGGAGAGGGAACATTGGGTCGTTACTTCAGTGACTTCATATTCCTGAAGTGGACTGCCTGCGCTTGCTTCAAATTTTGGCCAAAGGCCGGAAGATCTGGAAGCAGACGAGAGAGAGAGAGAGAGCGAGAGGGAGGGAGTGCTTTAATAATGACAAGGAGGTTTCTCGCAGTCAAACTATCTTCATGTGGATTGCATTCAAACTTGTTCGTGTCAAGGCCTTGTGCTGATATGGCTCAGCTCT